ATATCATCCCTTATCCGTTCCCCATATAATATCTTTGAATTCGGAGCGGTCAAGAGATGCAGTAAAATCATGTCTTCTTGCGAGAATAATCTCAGTAGTCGGAATCCGACTAGTGCCTATGTTTAAAGCACTAGAACCGTCGGGGTTATTAACCTCATAGGTTCCACTTTTAGTGTCGGCTACAGAGATTATGTATGGTCCTATCCATTTCGATGTGAGTACAGTAGCATCGGAATTACGTTGACGGATGTTAACTCTGTCTCCAACCTGACACTCTGCTATCTTTTTGGTAGCATTCCATCTATTTTGCCTTTTTAATAGGGCCACATTACGTGTCACTCGCAAGCAAGGATATAAAACGTTGTGTATTTAATCTGGTTGAGATCACAGTCTGTACATGACTGATATACTCTGTCAACTAAAGTTGCCAGCTTAGGATGCGCAATCCCATTTCGCTTAGTATCTTTAAGTGCGTCTACTACGTTCTGGTGCTTCAGCTTATGGTTTTGCGTCAGCCAAGTAAGAATGTTTTCATCATTCTGTTCCTCCAGAATAAAGGTAGGGTGTTGAGAATCCACTTGCGTGGTCTCCAAGTCTGTAGTGTTTCCAGACTCCTGTCCTTCTTTCGCATGAGTGTCATGAGTGCGCTCGTGTGCGTTTGATACACCTGACATATTTAATAGTCGCATTATATGTGTATATACTTCGGGGCTATCTTTCATTAATCATTTAGAAATAGGATTTGAAAGACTTCGGGCTTGAACTTTATGATATTAAACAGTCCTAGCTGGAGACTGACGCTTCTTAACTGCAGTGTCATTAGTAGATTGTATTTCTTGTGCACAGACTTCAAGTGCTGTGTTGCATTTGAACTGCTTAACGTTCAGTTCAGTAGAGAGTGGAATCTTTGATTCTTTGACCTTGATAAGGAAGGTCTCAGAAGGGGTCCATTTGGTTGTTCCAATGGGACCTATACGACATATAATAGTATGTCTCCAGGGCGTCTTCTGGACGGCTCGGGTACCCTGATATAGGAAAGTATCTACTTCCCTATCTAAATATATTGGCTCGCATTGTATCATGCTTATTAATTTATTGAACCATGGATCTTTACTCCGAAATGGGCAACACAACGTGATGGTAGCTTTATGTATATGTACATAATTTAGTAATTGGGCAATTAACTGCCATGGTGGATTAGCCCACGCATTATGTTCGGAGAGGTCTAGTTGAAACTAAAGGATGCTTTAAAGTCCTGTAATTCTTATGTTGTGCATTATGATGTGCAGCAAACATGCCAACTGTATGTGGCCCAAATATTTTTTGAGCCAGTTCAAACCACCTGGGGTTACATTTCCAATAAGTGGCTAGTAACTCACGTACTGATTTATTATAGTCCGGTACGAAGCGTGATAATATATCCGGTAAATGGTTATGTATCTCTGGTAGATGTTTGATATCAAAATGAAACTTTGATATTGTATCATGGCATCGGCTCAGTAATTGAGAGTCTGGCTTCATTTCCTTCATATATTGAAGGGACTTCTGATCACACATCAGCGTAAAAGCTGTTCCGTATAAGTAATCGCAGAAGTGTGTTAAAGCTGCTACTATGGCTAGTAGCTCTTGCTTCACAGTTGGATAATTCAACTGTGATGTATTCATTGCTCGGCTAAAGAATTGTATATATCTAAATTTATTATTTATAACCTGGTATAGTACACCTCCGAG